TGAACAACTTTATTAGGACTCAACTGCCTAGATTTTCCACACAATACATATCCCTGAAATCAGAATGGAATTTCACCAGAGGGGAGCCATTAAGGACCATAAGAGTTGCAAAAGTGGGGCACAAAACAATGTCTGTCACTTATGGATATATTGTCAGTTGAGGAAGAATCCTTCTGTCATTTGACTTGCTCAATGACTCTACTACACTGAAATTGCTCTTGGAACTCCGATGTTCTGTTTTCTATTATATTCATTTCTTTAAGATTTCCAGCTGAAAGAAAGACCGGGGTGATCTGCTCTGCAGTCATTGGATGATCTAGCAGAGAACAGGTATTTAAAATTTTTTGTGGAAGGTATCAATCAGTTCCATACTAAAAATCAATCAATAAATCAATAAATAAATAGACAATGAACTCTTCAAGAAACTCACAAAGAGAAAAGTTCTATATAGTCCAGTCCTGGGAACTGATAATGTTAGGGTCTGTTTAGGAATTTGCATGACTTCAGCTAGCTAGGATATTTTATTGAAACTCTAAGAACCCAATGAATTTAACTAAAATATTTGCACCTCTGTTGCAATTTTTTGCCATGATAATTGCTGAATTCATGCTTGTTCCTTCATGTACAAGGAGTGCCCTGTTTTGCTGAAAGGCAGTTTGGCAGAATGCTCATTGAAATTTCTGGTGGGAATTGGAGTTCTTTGTAATTTTCACCTAAATGAAAGCATCAATGCAATTTTTCAAATGATTTTTTGCCTACTTTGTGCAAAGAAATGTTCCAGAGACATTCTCAAACTTTTGCTTACAGAGCTCACAGCTTGTGAGTGGAAGGGGCAAGTGAGGTTCAAAAATGCCCTGTGACAAGTACATGCAAATTCTGTGATACATGGAAGATGAAGAGGGGACCAAATTGAACTCAGAGAAACTGCATACACCATCCTTCAAATCAGCCATTGAAAAATGGATCCTCAGTGATTTATTTTTAGGCAAATAAGAGTGGTATGAGGTGAGGGAGCAGAAAATGAGAGGAAGGGACAGGAATGAGGTTCCTCGCCTAGTCACAGAGCTACAGAAATAGAAAATCCTCAGTATCTGATTCACATTCTTTAATATATTTCTATTCAGCTACACGGAGCAAGGGAAGCAAAGATGGATGCTGGGCTCTTCAGGAACCCCACACAGTCTTAGGGTTGTGTTTAAAGAGTGAAGCTCGACCACTGAGATTCCTTAGAAGTTTCAGGCTTTTAGGAAAGCAGGAATTAACCCAATCTTCGCAGTTATTCAGACTCAAGGACCAAACTGATGCGGCAGAAAGGATTGTAAGACAAGCTGGAACATACACCGAAGAGATAAGAGGAAGTTGGAGCAGAAACGAAACCTTAATAGAAACCAGAAGATGTATATTGAACGATTGCAGCGCCTCAGAACACTCACAGCTAAGTTTTCAAGTTGAGGATGAACACAAATAGAGACATTTTGCTGTAAAACCTTTAGAACAGTGGAATCTTCCAAAGTTCACTGACTTTGTTTTAAAGGTTTTATCATTTTCAGTACCATTTTTTTGCATTAACAAAACAAAGTATGACAGGAAAGGGAATCAAAGAAGGACCTAATATACACTATACCAATACTGATACTTCCTTTTACAAAGCTATTGTGACTAACATAACCGTTTTCTGTATCAGCTGAAAAATTTTCTTCCTACTGCATGAGGTTGCTATAAAAATATTTTTCTAAAAACTCAGCTCATCACTTAAGATCATAAATGATAAAATAATATCATATAATAAAGTAGCAGACAGCAGCACTAAACAGTATGTATTATCAGTAACTTGTGTTTTTAGTATTCTGTCACAAGGAACCCACCACCATTAACATTCAGCTCATATAGAAATCAAAAATTATACCATGTCAATTGAAGGCAACCTTATTATTTAAATTCTTTCTGTAATAAAACAAGATAAACTATAAGAAATTCTAAAAAGAGT